AAATTCTTACTAGGCAGACCTGCCTTTTGCCTGGAATATTATTGATCCAGAATGCTGATTCAGACTAGGAAGAAATGAGGTTATTTACTGGGGACATAACTGCGAAATAAAATTCTTTTGAAACGCTTGAGCTAGTCTCTACAACGCGTTGAAGGATGTATGCTGCATGTCAAGTACAAGCTAGCATTCTAAAAACGGTTTTACAAAGGGTCTTTAGAGACTCGAGATACGATGTTTTACATCTTGCTTATAATTAGCTATATTTCACATAACAAGTGAGCAGGTGCTTCGGAATATTCCTTTATTCCTGAAGGTTGAACTACAGGCAAGGCACGACCTTCTCACGCACTTCACAACGACAAAATGACTGAAAAAAGTTGTATTTTCTGAATTCCTGATGATAGTTTCTAGCGGTTTATTTGTAACTTTGGCTTCAGCTTCGAAAAAGTGAATTAATAAAGAATAGAAATACTTGCCAAATCCCCGAAAATTTGATTCAACTCGTTTTCTTGTTTTTTCTGAAAATGGTGAAACAACAGGAAACAAGAAAAGACATGTTGAATCCTATACACATTTGCCATTGTCGGATCGTATAGATCCGTTCTATTTGCGACTGATCTACATAGGGTCAACATGCACGGTATTCTATTAGACTCAGAATCAATTTCGTTCTATAGAGCAACTACTGAACCTCAGCTCATTCTGTATGTGAGGATTTTCGTTTTGATGTTTTCTTCTCTTATCTTTCTCGAGTGATTGTCTAATAAATTCATCGTAAAGTTATAGATACACAATGTTAGAATGAGTACCACTGTTGAGATCTATTCGAACATGAGCAAGAAAGAATAGCTCAAGATGTCTTCGTCTTCTTATATACGAATCTTGTAAGAGTGTGATAAGATTCTTACCTGGATCTTATAGGATCAACATGCACGGTATTCTATTAAACTCAGAATCAATTTCGTTCTAATTTTATTTTAGCTGGAAAACCGCGCACTGGAAGCCTTGAAGAACTGATAAAACCCGTTGTACCACATACAATTAAACAAGTAGTAGACATATGTAAAGGTCATATTCATATTTTGTTTAAAGAACGTAAAGATTTTCCAAACAAAAATCCGCTTTTACATAGTCAACTAGATCGGGAGTTTTTTCAAATATCAGAAGAAGGTTTGTTGCATACTCTTATTTTATTCTTCTATTTGTATAAATTGAATTGTATAATTTCATTTTTTCTGTATATAGCTGATGAAAATGAAAAACGATCTCAATATGCATATCGATTAATGTTATATGATTTATGTCATGCGATGTTAAATGACATTTATACATCATATATACAACAAAGTCAATATCCATGACAAAAATCACAAATTATTAGAAAACGTTATTATTATTTAAACAGATCAAACAATAAAAGACAAGCGGAACAATTTGTTATTAAAAAGGTGAAAGAAAAACTTATTATTCTTAATAGAATGATTATTGACAGTATACAGATGAACTGAGCGCGCTTACGACCGGACAAATGACGTGTTGGGATAAACGATGTTATGTGCCTCAGAATGAAGAAAGAATTATGTGGCTGTGATTAGCATCGAATTCTGATTAGAATTGCGCGTCTGGTTTTCAAAAAATATCAATTCTTTTTCCGGGAAACTTTGGGCCCTATGGACCAGAGATCGAAACGGGTCGGGTTGGGTCGCTGAAAAAAAGTTTCAATTTTTCATGCGTTTTTCTGCGAAAAATTTGAAATTGTATCTCTTTTCTGGACGCGAAAAAAGCTTTTGCGGGATTCTTTGGAGTCAAGCGAAAAAATTTCGAATCGGCTTCTCGTCAAACTCATTTGATCGATTCGGTCTCTCCTATGACCCTATACAGAAGGGTGTATGAATAATTTGTAGTATATGAATAATTCCAGACCTTAACTTGTATCCAAAATTTCAAGCGTATTTCCGCGAACGATGTCCTCCTGTGTTAGCCATCTGGGGGAAAAACGATCGAATCTTTATCGCTGCCGGCGCTGAGGCTTTCAAACGACATGTCGAAGTTCACCTTCTGGATACCGATCATTTTGCATTGGAAACGCATGGAGATGAGATTGCCAGTACGATTTTGAAGTTCTTGGAAAATACTAAATTGTACAAACAAACCTAATAGACCATGACAAACACATTCCCTTTAGAGCGGCTTACATAAGTTTTTCGATATCCTGATCGGGATATAGGAGGTGTCCTCTTACTGACTGGGCTTTTGTAAACAGAATTTACTCCTAAACTTATTATCTCGCATTCCCTGCTTTAAAGCCTCGGAACGCCCTGTCGGAGAGGAGTATGTTTGCTTCTCGGTCGATGAATAATGTGATCAAGGTTTGAAATTAGTATCTGCTGATTACTGGTTAAATGTACTGTATGAGCGATTGATAGGCATTTTCCAAGTAAGCAGAATAGTTTTTCAATACCAAGTAATCAATTGCGCACGAAGTGAATTCATTTTGTTTGACTATTTTGCTGTTTGCACAATGTGTTTCAGTCATGTCAAATCTCAATATTTGCAAAATTCATTTTCTGTTGAATATCCTAAAAATAAACATTTTGCATCTATTTTTCTAAAAGCCATAACGAAGAAAATCAGATAATCCCCTACATTTAATATGAACAATGTTGGACCATGTAACTGTTCAATTCTTTTCATCCATTGGTACTTGTATGTTGCAGGCAAACCTACTTCGAATTAGTATTTGAAAGCCATGTGCAGTGGCGACATGTATGATCTTACTAAAAAAGAAAAACAACCAGGTGGGGATGCTACTTCTACTTGTATGACTTATAACTGTTATGAAAGTAGTTTCGGCTGATATGTGTACAAATTAGCCTTGAATCACAACAGTCTTATAATTGCTCTATATTCTGAATTACCCTCATCGATAATGTGACAGGCTGTATCTACTAGACTGCAACTTTTTTTGTCATTCTATTTCTGCTTTTGGCGTTTTTTTTTGTTTTGTTTCGTAGAGACTTTATGAAAGCGAATTATAAGAATTATACTAATTTTGATTTTGATCCAGATCGCTGACTATTTATAATCGATGTCGATTATCGATTGATGGAAGACCAATGCCTCAAATACTATTCTATAGCTTGCTTACGTTATTTTTAACAGTTTTCTGCAGTTAACTGTATTTCCCATAAGCCTTATTAAATTTTTCTTTTAATATGGGCGGATAGAATTTTCATGTCTCTTTCAAACTGTATGTTTCTAGTCTGATTTATTGTTATCTTGATTATAAGTTTGACAAAATTCGAAAAGCCCTCAAAAAATTTCTTTTGCAATGGTTTAACTAGCTTTGCAGAATATATTTAGCTGGAACTCGATTGTTGGGAAAATGGCTTCAGATTGACCCAGCTATAATTAGAATTCAAGATCATGTCTTTCGTGCATGAAACAATTCAAATGAGCGTCATTCCACACCGACTTACTTACTTAAAACTGTTTTTGTTGTGAAAAAGCTAGATTTCTTCAGGATTTTAGACTGAAAGTCGAGGGCTCTCAGAAGATCTTCTACGATGGCTAAACACAAACTTCTAAAAACTTTATTGTTTTGTATTTGAAAGTAGACAGCATGCAATTAGAACTATGTTTCGGACTCAGAACCGGATCATTTTTCCAGACTTATTCAAGAAAACTATCAATCCAAAAAACAGAAGACAACATAAATATATTTAGATTTAACGTTTACGCGAGATAGTCCCATCACATTAGTACAAACTAACGCAGATCTGAGACCTAAAACTTATAAACGGACTCGGTGGTAGTCATTTTCTGAAGAGCCTCTTACTTTCTTCCTGTGACATGCAGGAGTGTGGAAACCATTTGCATTTTCTATGTGAGGGTGGCAGAAAACAATTTTATGCCCCAACCTAGCTTTCTTTTTGGTTACGAAATAGACATCACCGTGATGATCAGGAGGGGTTGATGAGCTATGTTTGTATGTGGTTTCTCCACTCCTGCATGTCACAGGACGGAAGTATGGAGTTCTCCGTCAAATGAATACTACCCAGTCCCATATAAGTTGTAGGTAAGTCTTCTATCTTCCGTGTTTTATCTATCTTTCATACCATTCAGATATGTCGGACGATTGCGGTGTAGTCGAACAACAAGAACCTTCCATCCATCATATCCAAAGCCACAATCGATTAGTTAACAATCAACATACATTGCTTCATCAGCGAACACCTCTTCCCTTCATCAAGAGCGTATGCCAGAAATTTGTCGAGAAGTTCTACTTACAAAAACAAAACGAAAAAAAAATATGCTATCTAATCTGCTATCCGGCGCCTATAAAAAAGAATATGATAAAAAAACGTTTCTCAGTATAATTAGTTTGATTCTAAATTTAAAAATAGATTAAGCAGCAGATTTATGTTATTAGTCGTGTATACAAACAAATGAAAATAAAATTATAATGGTTTTTGGCATGTGCAACAATTAACACCTGTAGATACATCTACACTAGCATCTTTCCAATAATTTGGTGTGGTGCAGTCGTTACATGTTTTATGTTTAAATGTATTCTGACAAGCAGCACAAGTTATCTGTACTCCTTGTTTATAATCATCAGCATTTTTCCAAAAATTTCCTTTTGTACAATGAGGACACCAGACATGTTGAAATGCTTGTTTACAATGATAACAGTCCACTTTTAGACCATGTTTGTAAACAAGGTCATCATACCAAAAATTTCCTTTCAAACAGTGAGGACACTGAACATGTTGAAATATTTTCTGACAAGATGGACAGTTGTATTTTAAACCATATTGATAATTACATTCGAGAAAGAAATTGCCTTCATGACAATGGGGACAATCGACATGCTGAAATTTTTTCTTACATACGGGACAACTAGACTCTGTACCATCAGTATAATCAGCATTTGGATAGATGATAGCCCATTTGCAATGTGGACAATTTAAATGCTGAAATGTTTTTTTACATCCGAAACATGTACAAATTTGACCTTGTTTATAATCGGCTTTTTTAAAATAATTTGACACTGTACAATGGATACAGTTGATATGTTGAAATGATTTTTTACAAACAAAACAAGTACGCTTTCCACCTTGATGATAATTAGCTGTAGACCATATATTAGATACAGAACAATGTGGACAGTTGATGTGCTGAAATTCTTTTTTACAAGAAAAACAAGGGATGACACTACCTTGTATATAATTACATTTAATCCAAAAATTTCCCATTTTACAATGTGGACAGTTGATGTGTTGAAATTTTTTTTTACAATCAACACATGTAATCTCCAGACCTTGTTCATAATTAGATGCCCATTTGTTAACACTACTGCAATGGTTACAACGAACACACTGATATTCTTTCTTACATGACCAACACCTACTCCGTGTTCCTTGAAGATAATTAGCTTGTTTGTAAAAATTAGCTTTCCCACATTGTATACAATTAATATGTTGAAATTCGCGTTTACATTCAGCACATGTGACTTTTGTAGTTTCTTTATAATCAGCATTAATGAAATTATTCACCATTAAACAATGTGGACAAACGATTTTTTGAAATATCTTTTTACAATCTGCACAAGTAATTCGTGCTGCTACTTTCAAGTCTGCATCTTTCCATGTATTTGAACTATTACAGTGTGAACAACTCAATTCTTGAAATGTTTTTTGGCAATTACAACATGTAACAACTGTACCTTGTTGATAATTACCGTCCTTGAAAAAATTTGCACCGCTACAGTGTGGACAATTGACATGTTGAATGGAATTTTTACATGACCAACAAGCATATTTATGACCTTGTATATAATTAGCCTCTTTCCAAATGTTGGATTCAGAACAATGTGGACAATCGATCTCCTTGAAATTCTTCCCGCATGAGTTACATGTGCATGTACCACCACGAATATAGGTATTCCATGTGTTAGATGCTAAGCAATGCGGACAATGGATCGTTTTCGACGCTAACGCTACAGATAAGATAAAAAACTGAATATTTAGCATAGAAAGTAATAAGTTTTAATAGTCAGGGCGGTTAAGCTTTGTCATATCACTGTTTCTTGTGAAATCATTTGTCATCAGCTCTCATTTAGAAAGCATTCGCCAGAGACCATATATCGAACTTTTTATCGAGAGCGGTCTTTCTTCCCCTTTTCTTCGTCCCTTTTCTTGCTAGTCATCATGAAATATCGAACCGATTTTTGTTCTTCCTACTGATGATTTTCTTTCTTTAAAAAAGACACTATCCTTCATACTGACTTCCTTTCATATACAAGTCAGATAAAACATAGAGTCTCCTCCAGAAAACACAGATACTTTCCATTACACACATCTTAGTGACGGTCAAAAGGAGTATATATGATTTGATAACCTAAAAAAGGAAGACCCGGCTGTCGGGTGCTGTAGTTGCCAGTAGGACCTATTCAGATAGGAGTATATGGTGGCTCGGCCAGCTAACCATATCCATCGTTGGAGAAGGTTCAGATAAAATGTTTTTCTTTGAGCGCATTAAAATATAGAACGTTAGACCCGGTTTTCATGCTGATCATGAATGTGATATTGAAAATTTAGAATTATCTTTTAAACTGAAATTTTTTAATTTTATATTTAAATTGAGTTTAGAATTTTTTTGATAGAACTAGCGCAAGATAGGATTAGAAATGTAAAATAATTAAACTCTCGTTGAGTTTCACTTCAAAAGCAAGTGAAAATGCAATTTTAAAAGATTTAAATTTTGGATGGCTAGAACCAGATGAAGTTTTCAAACTTAAATTTAAACGAAGGCAAAGTAATTTAAAGTTCTGATTCGGCCGGCAATCATCGCCATTTGACATGGTCTATCGAGACAATGTATATTTATATTTGTAATAAAGTTCGCTATGGAAATTAAACGCTCGTACCCGCTCCCATTGAAAAAGCTAAAATCGGTGTAATTCCGTTATGAAACAAATTTCACTGTTTTTATTCGAACTAAGCATCTGTTAACAAAACCAAATGGTGGTTCAGGAAGCTCAAATCTTCAGCTTCATTACGTCTAACCTCGGGCAATTTCTCAGTACCCGGACATCATCCAACAAAAATTTTCTTTTCGATAATTCCGTTGCGATGTCCATTTTTCGCTTGATCCTCTCAACCGACCAAGTTCGAAATACGTTGGCCAAACCCACACCCGTAAAAAGATTTTGAGCCATATATGTTCAATGGTTTCTGCAAAACTAGTCCTGGAAGTTGTCAAAATGTAATTCTGTTACGTTCGGCCAATGTGTTTTATAGAGGAGAGTCTATCCTTCGGTCGCCTGCAGTGATCTAGAGTAGGTAGGAGGGTCGAGAAAAACAATCTTTCGGAATGAAGAAGAACTGGATCGATTTTTTTTTCATGAATCTGACTAAAGATAAAATCTTTTTATCTTCTCTGATTTGTACATTAACTTGCTCGTTACAATGCCTCTTTCTCAGCAGCTTAATATGCGAGAACACGTTTCACCTTTTCAGTAAATTAAAAATAAAAACACTACTTACTGTTGTTTGCTGGTTTCTGTTCAACGGGTTTGTCCGTTGATAAAATTTTTGTAACGTCGGTTGTTTCTGTCGTTGACGGTATTTTGCTCGTTAATTTTGCTGCGGTAGTTGCTGTTGTTAATGTCGACGACGATTTCTGTAATTTAAGTGTCTTTATATCTGGTAAGGATGATACTGTTGATGTCACTGATGCTACCGGCGTTTGTTTAGTTATTTCTTTTAATTGTACAATATAAATACCGTTCATGCAAAATGGTTTACCGAAAACTTCTAATCTTGTTCCAGGCATCAAGATAATTTCATTTTCTGATACATAATGCGAGTGATCTTTAATGGATTTTCCATGGATACAATCGATTGAAAATAGTGTATTATAACTGCCTTCAATAAGAAAATTTTGTACAATCTCGACTTGTTCAGCACATGATGTGACAGCCGACCAGGTGAAGTTAGCCCCACTTGCATACTGACCACTGATATTTTCACGGATACCACGCCAAACCCGAGCATTGACGGATGGTAGTTTGTTCAATGCCGTATGGAGTAGCTTTAGATATGAAAACCAGGGTAGGACGTTGGAACTAATATTCGATCGTAGAGCTTTATTTAAGACGGTATAAACACTTTTTGGACCGGACTCCATCGTATACAAATAAATAGCCGATGCCTCATCATGGGTTAAACCATGCGCTGGTGTTTTGGTACTCTTCTTTTTTGCTTCAGCCACGTTTGTGACGATATTATCTACCAAATTTGATATGGGTTGTACAGCTGTTTCTAAGGGGACTAATGGTGAGTTTAAATAAGCATTAATTGGCGTATGTTTACTGATTGCTTCTATATCCGTAAATCTGTTGAGCATGATTTAGACTGAAATAGTTAACTAAAAATCAAAACTAAAGTTCTGGTATGCTGGGCAACGATTTTAGCACCCGTATAACTCAAAAACTAAACAATACATGTTTCTCTAAAGTGACTCGACGTAGAGTACAACTCGGGTGCTAGAAAGTAGTGTAAAAGGTAGAAATAGGTACTTTTTAGTTGATTGAGTTGTACATGATGCTGATCTATTCTTTAGAAAAGGATCCCTTGTAGTCTTTGAGAAATGCTGTGAATATCGTTAATTATTGTTAAAACAAGTTTTTGAGACAAGCAAAAGAAATCTCGAGAAGATGAGCAAGGAAAAAGTTCCTTTTTCAGAGAAAAATCATCAATATTCACAGCCATGTTCATATAACACAGCCAAAGTCTACAAGGAGTCCTTTTCTAAAGTCAGCATCGTGTACAAATAGTATACTTTAAACTAGTATAAAAGATGGAAATGGGTCTACTCTAAGTAGTGTAAGTTTTTATTTTGTACATAGACATATATCCGATTTCTTTCGTTCAGCAAAACCAGAGGAAGACAAAGAAAAGAGAATGATATTGATCTATATTTACGCGGACACGATGGTCTGCGTCTCGACGTCTACGTGTAGACTTATTTTAGACGACTTCCCTTATGGCACAAATTGGAGTGGGCACTGTTTTTCATGGGCATAGAATAGTTGATTGAGTATATAATAGTATAAAATTTATTCTTTTGTCGTTTCTTGCTTGCTCCTCCGTGACACGACTATTCTGCGAACGACTCTTCCGCGAACCGTTTGTGGTGTGAGGGTAAGTTACACTAATTTCTCCAACTGGTTGGCTGCAAAAAACTTCATACAAAAATTTCTCCTTGTTCATTCTTTCTCATGAACGGATAAGGATATATGCACGGATATAGCCTGTTGCGTTTACTAAAAGGAAGCCGATCAAACAGCTTGTCCACGTAACTCCTATGGCAGAGGTGTCACAACATTACTTTTTTTTACTCATTTTGTTTCGACCATAACTCGGAAACTAAACAAAATCGTAGAGAGTTTGGAGATATTTTAAATTATAGAAAAAACATGTTTTCTACATTTTGAGATCTGATCAGATCCTAGGAAACCTATCTTAAAAAACTGTGGTCAAAATGCTGAGATCTACACCTTTGGTTTCACTTCTTAAAAAACAGGTTTCAGGATTTGGATACAGTTTTATGAGGATAGGTTCCTTAGAGTCTGAACAGATCTCAAAATGTAGAAAACAGTTTTTCGTTAAATGGTTAAAAATTGCTAAAAATCCCTTATGATCTTTTTATGATAGTTTATGAAATCCTTTTTATTTTACTATCACTATGTCTGATTCCTATTTTGTACAAAATAGGAAGGTTCTGCACTATTTATCATAGTCTCTTTACTTGATTTCCCAAACGAATCACAGGAAATCGGACAAAATCAGTGAAAATCGAAAACATCCCCAAATCAGCTGTTTCCCCTTGCTTTAAACGCGCTTCAAAAGTATACATCGCTTTTTTAAATTTTGTTTCGTTACTGCGAAAATTCTTTTTTTCCACTCAGTTTTGGCGCTGATTCAGAATACATATTTGCATTGTAAAAAAATGAGTGCTAATGGTGAAAACTGCAAATTACGGGTAGAATGTCAACTTTTTCGCTCCTGATGTCGAAAAAATGAATTTCCTTAGTGGCGAAACAAAAATAAAAAAAAAAACGACCTTTAACTCCAGTCTCGATCAAGCATCATTCTCGAATGTGAAAAAGCACTTCTAAAAGGTTAGAAAAACGAAAAAGAAAAGACTGAATAGTTTTGAAATTGACGCGCTTCAAAAATCTTTTCAATTTTTCAACATGAGAAAACATTTCTCAAATATTAAACCACATATTTTCTGCTCCAGATCAAAGACCTCCATTCAACCAAGCATAAAAACTGCAAAAAACCTGCTGCATTTTCGAAAATCCCACAGCTTAGGAATAATATACAACTCGACGGTAGTAGAAGTTTCCGAAAAATAATTAAATCAATTGTGGAAGTAGTAACTGATCGTCGCGAAGTTACAGATCCATCAAGTGAATAATCGTCCGGTTATGTAGTCGATGGAGCTAAATCCTCTCCGCAGAGCATTTTTACCTGCGATGACAAAAACACTACATTCTCCATGAAAAGTCGAACCGGAATATTCTGTTTCGAAGCAGTTCGCTTACCACCGGATAGATGTATGGCGCACTTCCAGGGGGGGGGGCCTCAAAATGCGACATCTTTCGATTACAAAGTTAATACCTCCGACTGGACAAAAGATAAACTTTTAAATCTTACGTCTTACACCGAAGTAAATGTATTGCATCTTTGTGATTGTGTCAGTTGTTCCAACAAAAGGTTTATTCGTGATGTTATGGATAAATGTCTTCTGTAACCTGATTGCTGATTGGGTAGCACATTCATTTTTTCTAGCCATGAGT